GTTCATTCGAGGTGTGTTTCATATTACTAAATATCTTAAATTCAGTAGAGCCAATCATTGATATTAAATTCAACAGCTATTCTACGAGACCCTTTGTACTGTTTTGTTCGTTTTCATCTCAGTTTCACCTCCACAATGTGCTTGAATTGGCGTGAATGGAATAGGCACTGTGTAAAATTTTTTTCCTGATTTATTCACTGACCACAATTGAAACTCTCAAAAACCGTTCAGAGAAATCACCCTTCATCAATGCAATACAAATTCTGTGTTGACCCCGATTCCGATAAATTCTCCCTGTGCAATCATTATTGCAGTCTGTCTACCCCCTCTCAGATGCATTTGCTTCTCGCAACAAAACTACTGATGCAATATTTGATATGTGTTCGGTCAATTGTCTTTTATTCATGCAACGTTGTTTCTCCGCGGGGACAAGTGCGGTCCATATCTCCGGTTACGCCACAAGAGTTCAAAGATTTTCTTCAGTAAGCAACAACGAAATAGCATTGATTTTGTATTGGAACTTCAAATTGAAAATAAATAAATTTCATCTCTAGCCTGAATAAATGATTTGTGATGTTTAATTCATAATCAGTTTTCATCAATTGTGTAAGGTTTACAGAAAATTGTATCTCTGTGTATTCACTAGAGGAATTAAAAATAAAAAAGTAAGCCATTACTGATTTTGGCTGACTACTGACGAGAAATCGTCTTCAGGCGCAATCCTAGTCTGAAAGAAAGTACTCTCAGACCTGCATGGATGACCAGATTAGGAGGGAAGATTTTCATTTCTTGTAAAAGATAGTCAACTTTATTCCATTCAGCCGCTGTTTGGCCGGATTAACCGATCAAATTTGAGGAAACTTGGAATTTATACATTTGGTCAACCCTGGCGTGAACTAGTTGACACAGTAACTACACTTCAGGGTTTACACACGGGTGGGTCAGTGTAAATACATCAATTATGACAGCTAATCAATGTGAAACTTAAATCCGTTGCTGTTGGACAGTATTTAGTTAATTGGATGAACAGACGATGATGAATTCCTAGTAGTTAGTCTAAATCGTTGAAACCTTTTTTGCTCTACAAAGGATGTTTGATATGATTCCTCAATCTTGCAAGAACTGTTAAATAGAACATATATTTTATCCCGTTTCAAGTTCTTCAAGGGTAATTTTATTACCAGGCCTGAGGTAAAGTTCCGCAATACTGAATGAACTTTGATCAGATATATTTCTTCCAATTTTCTTTCAAAATGAATTATTTCAGCTTCTATTTCAGATTTCTGAGGAAATATACCAATCCCCAAGAACGTGAACCAACTAGCAATGAAGAGAAAAGGATTTAAAGTTGACGACAACGGAACTAAAGTTGCAAACACTGTCATCATTTTTCTACTTGCGTATCTTATCAGTAAAACTAGGTCGTGTATAGGTTCTAACATTGAACAGTAAACAGTCTGCTCCTTAAGTGTATTCTAAATCTAAGTGTATGCACAATTGAGGCAATATCTGTTCGTTATGTTTTCTGTGGCTAATTTTCTCCCGAAAATGATGGCTGTCGGATTTATTCTATTAACTCCACTCTACACAAATCCTTGCAGCCGGTCTCAAGAAGAAGCCTATCCGAGTAATCTGTGATATGAACATCTTCTTCTCGAAGGCAATTTTTCCTAAACCAATAGCATACAATGTGACGTATCGACAAGAATACGAATTACTGAAGAATACCTACGCTACGCTGGTAAAAATATGTCCTAAGGGACTGTTAAGACAAAAAGTCATAATTTTCTAATGGGCATTACTTTATCAGCCCATTAGTATCCCTGGAATCCATGTATGAATACGTCTAACGTTTTCCAGGTTACAGTATTTCTCACTTTTTCCGAGCAGCACGCGTATCAGAGATGTGCTTGTTTTGGTCCTCGTCCATCCTGTTAAGTTCAAACCAGTTCAATGTTTCCTCTCACAGTATCCCTATAAAAGAGAAGGACATACTATCGCTTGTCTAGCCACAACTGATCATTCATTCCCATGCCGCACTCGGTTGATTTTCTAGATTTCCGCAATTCTCGATGTTTGAATTTTTGAGTTAAACCAACTGACCATAGACAGTTACAACATTATCCGATAAATCGGTAAATTCGCATCTTCGCCTTACAAAATTGTAACGATTCCGTACAAAACACCTGACAATAGGATCAACTTTCAATGGTAAGTAGAGAAGTGAGAATCTGCTTCAATGAGTTGTGGTTCGATTTATGTAAAGGGAAAATTGTGATTGATGAAAAGAACAGCTTTGCAACCAAGATCCGTTCAAACCACCTAGTTTTGTTCACATTAAGCTGGACTTCTTGTACACTTATAACATTTTTATTACCAAGTTGCTTGTATTCAGAAACATGAAACCCATACATTATGCGGCGGGATTACACAACCACCTCAATTCTTGGATTCAATTTCGAAAATGAGAACATCACAATAGTCCATCGTTGTAATGTGCTCCTAAACCCCCCTGTGATCATAAAAATTGATAATAGCCGATAGTTGACTAAGTACAGGAATATTTTTTACGAGTATAGCCACCAGTTTTGGGATATTACATCACTATTTCAGATTTTCTCCACCTCATCAGAGTACACTTCGGCCGTTCTCTTCTAAAATCATGATGCACTGTTCATTCAGTATACTGATCGACGATTTCCAAAGTGCAATGCTAATAGTTTTCAGACTCCACGATCAACGGGGTTTCAGAAAGAGATTCGCAAAAATAGGATCTTCGACCCAATTACCTGGTCAACAATCCTTGCATGATTTCATTTAAGTTGCAACCAGAATTGTGAGTGGGTCGATCTAAAATGCGAATTCTAAGGAAAACTAACCAGCTTTGATTACCGTTCAAAATTACCTAATGACTAAACCCCCAACTGCAGAAGATCCATTACTTATATTGACCTATTATTTGTCATCATGTTGCCTTTTGAATATGATTTCTTCTCTCTTAAAATTATGCTAGTAGTAATGTGAGTTATCTCATCTGCTGGAGTAGAACGGTTTTCTCATCAAGAAATATTATTTTCTCTCACGGGTAGGTCCACCAACTGGAGCTTTTAAGACTCCCTGATCTACGCCGAATCTAACGCCGAGTCCAGGAAACCACCAGCACAATCTTTTATTTTATTGAGTTGCGGTCGAACTTTCTGCTGCAAAAGTCTTCTTCAAATTGCTTATTCAAACCTCGGTTGCAATGCTCTTGTTGGTCTTGTTGAATGTAAATAAGATACTTTGATACTTCATTTTCGGTCAAAACTCTCTCTCTTGTGTCCGCGCTTTTTCACATTGATAATCAAAAATTAATGGTTAGCCATCGTTTCGACATTAGCTTAATCACAGCAATATGTCTCATGCTGATACTCAACCAGACGATTACCCGTAGTCTTCATTTCTCCTGATGTGACAATTTTCCATTTGATGCCATTGTAAAAAACACCAAGATCGATGCGTAGCTTGCTTGTCTATAGGCTGGCTATCAGTGAACAAACAATCACATAAGATCACTTGACTGACCTTGGCGGATCCGCACAAAATGCCGAATATAAAGTATGGGTTTCATACGGGTCATGTCGCAGTCATCATTGTAGAATCCCGAATTTTGAAATACTTATCAATTAAAATTTCCCGTGCTCCAGCGAAGCATTTTTTCTAATATTTTATCTGAGCGACCGGAAATTCGTATCGTACATTTGTTACTACACAAGATTAGGGAAAAAAGACTTCAATCCAGTTCACGTTTTTGGCACTTTAAGAGCATCCAATAAATAATTAGGAA